AGGAGAATAGTAGAGTGAAGGTCTTTTATTGCCTGGAATGTTGGCAGTGGTACCCGGATTTGACAAATCTTGCTTTTTCTGGATCTCAACCTTCAATTCAGCAACCTGTTGCATCAGTTGTGTGATCAACTCATTTTGTTCAGTGGTAGAGGGCTGGACTATAGCAACTTCGGTCAGACTAATCTCTTCACTGTTGTCGACCATTGTGGCTTTTCCTTTTAGAAGACTTCGATTAGAGAAGGAAGCTTTAGAAGCTTTGGACCTTGTAAAGTACGGGTGTTCGGTCAGCTTATCAACACATATCAGTTCTAAATACCTGACAAATGAAAAATAACTCAAAAGATTAACGTGATAGTGCCTGAAGGTGATAAATAGTACAAGGTATCACACATAGGTGTAAACACACAAGAGTTGCCTCATTTAAAGATAAACTGGCCCACCGATATAGAAAAATAACTAAATAAACAGGAATTTGTCTATTTGACTTTGTAATTAGTGGATCAAAAAAGTTGATTTTTGTGGAGCCAAGGTCGTTTTGATATTTCTGATTTTCGATTGATTATGAAACTCTAGTCTCCTTGCAAGAGTTGGTAAAACATAATTTCTCAAAAATGGGGACCGAACCTCGAAAGCCTGCCTACGTATCTCACGAGGGAGAATTCAAGTCTTAGTATTTCGACTCTTGAGTCTCTTTCGATTTGAGACGGTGAATCTTTTTTTGATATGAGCGAGTAAGATTTGAAAAAAAAAATGAAAATCAAATTTTGTTGGGAAACGAAAGACTCGAAAAATATTTGGACGCATTTTTTATAGTGACTTGATATTTGTGCTTAGGGATTTTTAGAAAATTTCCAAAAAGAGTATGCTAGAACATGTCCAACTAAAGCAACATAATAACACAAGCAGTTATAACACATAAACAGTTATTGCGCGTTCTAAACAGATATGTGACCCTTTTGTGCCAAGGGTAGGCCTAACAATTTGAGGGATGTATACGTCATTTGAAACATTCCATTGCCCCAAAACCCAAATTTATAAAAGTTTTACGAATAAATTGAATGAGGTTACATAATAGGGGAAATGAGATACAAAATAATCAATCTCGCGCAGGGGTACAATCATAAACTATGCCTCCATGGAAAGTACTTTGATCTTGAACTTCTTTCCATCTCCGAATTGGATGAAATAGAAACTTAATCCTTTTTCGACTCGAACAAACTATTAAACTCCCTACACCAAGAGACAATGGTTTGTCAAACGGAGTATACATCCTTCAAATTTAAACATATAAATATCATTGTCCATTTAGGTCGTGGGTCGTTTTGAACTCAAGGTGCTCTTTCTAATGGGCCCAACACGCCTTAAGTGTAGGGTCATCTTAGACCAATGTGCTAAATTTTGGGATTGAGTTTAGCTCTACACTAGTTTGACTAGAAGTGAACTTTTTTGTAGTGGATCAATGACCCAAGCGGACTACTAGGGCTAGGACAGTTAACGACCGTTGACTATCCAGTACCCAACTATATTCGTCAGGGTGTCCCAAGAACAATTTGGTTAACGAACGACTGTGACCTGCATAATCGTCATTTAAGTGGAAAATAAAAATAGGTGTCATTTGACGGAATATATGTCATGCCATGAATGCAACAACTTAAAAATTGTGGAAATTTAAACAAATATGCAAATAAACAAATAAACATTAGCCAAACAAATTAATTTTAGGGAAAATACATAAAAACTCCCTTGAACTTGGCACGAAAACTTACTTTAACACTTCAACTACACGGGTGTTTATATACCCCCTAATCTCATTTAAAGTGAATAAATACCTTCCTTAATGCTGACGTGGCATAAAGAAAATAGTTAAGCGCGTCTTTCTTTTTTATTAAAAAATTGGTCCCACTAATATATGTATTATATAATTAAAAAAGAAAAAAAAATCATCCACCCCGCCACCCCTACTTTCATCTTCTCCAAACCCATCCACCCCTAATCCCCTTTTTCTTCTGTTGCAACCCCCCCCCCCCCCCCCACAACCCTTTTTACTTATTTTGAACCCCCTTATCTCGCCCTTTCTCCTTCTTCAAACACCCCCATTGTACCTTACCTCACCTGCATTTTAATCTTCATTTTTTTTTTGGTTTTTAGATCTACTAAAGAGAGAAAAATTATTAAACTTCGTTCCGATCAAACTTGAGATTTCTGTCAAACTAAAGAAAATTTCATTAACACATTTTTATGATTTCAAAAATTATGATTGTTGTATGTCACGAAAAAATAAGGGTTTTTGAAGATGGAATATTGGAAAAGATTGTTTTTTTTTTTAATAAAGGGTCGAATTCATCTACATTTTTAGTTGATTTATTTGTCATCTAATACCAAAGAGAGCAATAAATCGGTAAAAAATTCAATGTAGGTCCATATTTGTTGCAATCTCACATCAATGGATATTGATAGAAAATGTATGAGAATTTTCTCAAAAGAAATTAGTGAAAATGTTAGAAGATATTGAGGTTGAAAATAGAGAAGTCATTAGTGAAAATTAATGATAATCAAGCAAGAAGTGAGAAAATACTAATGGAGGTGGAAGGTAGTGCATCCATTGGAGAGAGAAGGGGAAAAAAATTAAAGTTTAAAAATTGATTTCTGACATGGGAGAGAGAAGAAGAAGGGAAGGAAAAAAACAAAATTTTAAAACTGAATACCAACACGATTCTGACGTGGCAATGATGTGGCGTTGATATGGCAATGACTTGGCGCGTGTGTAATATACTTGCCACTGTGCGACTGGTTTTGTTTTCTTAGGGAGGTATTTATTCACCTTAAATGAGATTAGGGGGTATATAAACACCCGTGTAGTTGAAGTACTAAAGTAAGTTTTCGTGTCAAGTTCATGAGGTTTTTTTAATGTATTTTCCCTTAATTTGAAGGTTAGAACCCAATTCAAGTCTCCAGCAGAGTCGTCATTCTGTTTTAAAAAGAAACGAAGTTTTAAGAGTCGCCACAACTAATTTCAAAAGATTAAAATAGTAAATCAATTGAAAAACACTTCGGGGTTCATATTAGCATTTCAGAAAGGGTTTGAAAGCACCCGAAATGCCCGCTAACACACGATTATTCGATAATTAACTATTTGGCTAATTGATTCTAAAATAAAAGCAAACTTTGTTTTTAAGAAACAACAATTTAAGACTTGAAATTATTTTTTTTAAAAGGGAAAGGGGGATAGAATAAGAATATTATTTAAATACTAGATATTATAAAGTCAAATAAAATATGCTTATTTGTTTTTAAAGATATGGTTGGTTCATCTTTTGGGGAGTTGAATTAAGGAACCTGAAAATTAATTTTGCAAGTAAACAATTGAACAAATATGAAAAATGAATAAAATAAAGAGAGATAAGGCGTTGGGTATTGTCGCTGGAATTTGGTATTGCTGTTGCTAATATGTATTGTTATAATGGGCTAGGTTGAGTTAATGAAAGAAGTGGACATGGAATGAGCTCAAAATTTCTCTCAATAAAGGTTTAAGAGTTGAGTAAAAAAATGGCTTGTATTGAATTTAAGACTTGGCCACACGGATTGTGATTATAGCCATTGGAAATTACAAACGTAGCCAATTTGAATTTATTTGCAAATTCGACTAGTAATTAAATAAGATGAATTAATATAATTAAACTAACGAGCTTCTTAATCTTAATGAAATAAAATAATTAACTTAATTATAAACTAATTAACTCAAAAATATAAACTACTATTTATTAATTAAACTGATTAACTAAATATTTAAATAAAACAAAAAAAATAAAATTGAGACGAGTTTCGAACATTCACAAAATGTACTAATTATATAAAACACATATATTATTCAAAAAATTAAAAAAATGACAACTATTTAAAATAACCTGCTAACTATTTTTGAAATTTTATATAACTAATTATTTTAAATCGTTTAAAAATTAAAAAAGTTCGATGATTAATCTATATTATAAAAGTTCTAAATTGGGTATCAACATACCAAATTATGAATTTGAGCAAATGAGTAGATAACTAAGACGTTAAAGAAATCGTACGACTTTACGTAATCGAATTCGGGCGAGTAGAACTCCCGAAACCGATCTTAGCATGAACGAGTATTTTCTGAGTGTCATGAGTTGAATGTGTGTTATGAAATGGGGTTTCAAACTCTTAATTTAACTCTATGTTTCCGTGCAAGCCGATAGGGCGGGATTATTCCCGCCAGTGGCGGACCCAGGATTTTCCTTTAGGGGGTTCAAAAAATAAAAGTATAAACGTGTAAATAAGCCAACAAAATAAAATTTCAAGGAAGTAGTATTATATAGTTTATAGGTACAAAAAGTTAGTTTCGTTACAAGATATCTGAAACTAACATGAGTGATTACAGTGAAACAAAAAGTTAGCACTTTACAATATGTCAATCTAGAACTAGGATGCTAAGTAGAGCAAAAAATGGAGCTAACTAGAACAAAAAAAATAGCACTTCATAATGTCTCACTCTAGGACTAGAGTGCTAACTACAAACTTCAAAAAGAAGTCACTGCTAATACTTCTCAAGCACGTTTACAATACTATTCGACGAGGTTTCATTGCTTGAAAAGACAAAATAATATCATCCGTTGAAACATCCTTAAACACATCCTTCTTCATAAAAGGAACCATGCAACCGCTCAAGAAGTCATCATTCCTTCTTCTTCGCAACTCATTCTTAATAAATTTCATTCCCGAAAAAGCTCTTTCAACGGATGCAGTGGCAACTGGCAGAAGCAAAACGAATTTCACCAAATGAAATACAAGAGGATAACATGAATGTTTTTTTGTCTGAACCAATCTTTTTGAAAGATCACAAAGCCCATGTAAATCAGAGAACCTTTTATCGCTATCACGAACATCAATAATGTAATTTGCTAGTTGATTCTCAAGTTCACACATGCTAAGTTCATCAAAGTCATCAGGATATAATGTAATTTGCTAGTTGATTCTCAAGTGCACACATCAATAATGTAATTTGCTAGGTGATTCTCAAGTGCACACATGCTAAGTTCATCAAAGTCATCAGGATATAATTCAGTCATTCTCATTATTTTCTGGATATCAAAACTTGAAAATGAGTCTATCGAATTCAAACAAGCAACTCCATAAAGCAACTTGGTTGTCACCTCATCAAAACAATCATTGAGTTCTTGCAATTGCCAATCAATTATTTTACAAAATAGTTCAACACGGTAATGATGAAAAACAGTATAATCAACAGATTTACGCCGTGATCTTCCAGAATCAACATACGGCTCATCAAAATTAGGCACCACAATATTATACTTAATACAAAATGCAGAAACCTCAACAACAAATAAATCCCATTTTTCATTTTCCCTCAACTCTTGTAGCCTTCTCTTGGCCACTTTAACAAGTAACATGGCATTTACAATGTCTTGCTCCTTATTTTGTAAACATGTACTAAGATTATTAGTAATACCTAAAACTTCTTTCATCAAATGCAACATGAATGCAACCTCACAAGTTTGAGCAATTCTGATATATCCTGTTGCCCTAGATCTTTCATCCATAAAATGAGCAGTTTCAACAATATTATCAAGAATGTCCATAATTGTACCAAACTTGAGAATAAAACAATTAAAAGATTTGAAGTGAGATCCCCAACGAGTATCGCAAACTCTAGAAATACAAACTTCTTGATGCAAGCCTCTACCCGTTTTAAGCTCACCCATATAAAAAGCTTCTTGATTTTTTTTTTGATATTCTCGATAATCATCCATACGTTTATAAGAAGCCGCCAAAATATTAAAAATATTTGAAACCAAATGAACAAGTTCTCCAACTTGAAGACATCTTTTAGAAACACCAACAAAAGTTAATTGAAGTTGATGAGCAAAATAATGTATAGAATAAACCGATCTACTTTCTTTCTTAATCAACATCTTAAGGCCATTGATATCACCTTGCATATTACTTGCTCCATCATAGCATTGTCCACACACATAAGATAGACTGAAGGAATGTTGAGAAAATAAATTGACAATTGCTTCTTTTAGAGATAAAACACTAGTATTTTTAACATGAACAATGTCAAGAAGTCTCTCCATCACAAATCCTCTTCTATCAACATATCGTAAAACAACAGTCATTTGCTCATTGCATGAAACATCAAACGATTCATCCACCAATAAGGAAAAATAATCACCATTTAGTTCCTTTATGATGCCCTTAATTGTTTCAATCTTACAAGCAATTACAATATCTTTTTGAATCTTTGGGCAAGTCATTTGGTCATTTTGAGGAGCATTTTTCAATACAAACTTACGAACTTTATCGCACTTTTGAGCATAACATGAAAGAATCTTAATAAAATTACCTCTGTTAAGTGATAATTTAGATTCATCATGACCTCAAAATGTCAAGCCTTGTTTCACAAGAAGTCTTACTATATCAATTGAAGCTGCTAAGCAGATCTAATACCCATATTTATCTTGATTAAATTGTTTCTCAAATGAAGCATGTATGGATTGTTGTTGTCGCATTAGATCTTCACATTTTCTTTTTGACTGACTGTGAATGCTAGTATGCCACCAACGTGTGTTTGCAAACTAGCCTTATTATGCCAACTTCTGAACCCCACACTCGAAAATGTTTCACATCCGCCTTGAAGATTGTTATTTTGCTTGAATAAATAACAATACAAACAAAAGGTTGCATCTTTACTTATTCTATACTCTAACCAATTAGGAAATTCATCAAACCATTTATGATTAAAACGTCGCATATCTCCAAAAATGTCTGTTTGTGGAAACTCTCTTAATAGAGGTTGACAAGTTTTTTTTTTTTTTTTTTTTCCTGGAGATAAGCTTTTCTAATAGTGTCACAATGATGTGGATGAAATTCCAAGATTTGAGTTCTTTCACCTGAATCAGCCTTTAAAGAACTTAAATCAAATTCTTGAGAAGAATGTGATGATACTTCCAAATGATTAGCATTTTCTTCCCAGTTAGGTTGATTTTGAGCAATAGAACTTGAATTTGATACTTTAAAAAAGTACTTCTCCATTGACTATGAATCTATACAAAATAGTTAAAATTGTTAAATGCATTAAAGATAATATTTTACAAATTACATTAGATATTACCATCAAAATTCAAATGGTTCATCAATCTAGTTACGACTATCAAGAAAGAATAGAAAAAAACAATAAAAAAAATTTCACAATTTAAAATGAAGATAGTCAATATTCAATCAAGAAAGACAAACTTTTCAAGAAAATGGGAGAAAAGCTTACCTTGGAGAAAAGACAAACAATCAATTCTTTTGATTTTAGCTTTGAGCCTCCACTTCAGATAATCAGAGATACTACAAGTCTACAACCTTAAAAAATAAAGACCCATTTAATTTCTTGAAAATTGAAAGAAAAGAAAAATAAGAGAAAATGGCTTTTACCTTTTAAGCAATAAGCATGAGTTTTGATTTTTCATTTCGAATTGAATGTGAGATTCAAGCATGAAGTATCAAGTATGAAACAATCAACAATTGAATATTATGGGAGATGATTTTAATATTTGAGTTTTGAGTGTTGGGAAGAATTAAGGAAGTGATTTAGAGATTTGAAAAGTGAAAAAGTTATTAGCTTTTAGGAATGGGAGTATGGGACCCTTGATTTTTTGGGTTATTTTAGCACGTGTTATTAAAAAAAAAACTAAAAAAAAAGTTGAAAATCGGAATTGGAACTAAAAAAAAAACTGAAAGTAAAAAACTAAAAAAGAAAATACTAACCCAGGGATTCGAACGCTGGACGTCACGCTTAATTTTGAAGGGAGCTGTCGCTGGGCTATCCCTTTCACCTTGTCTTTGAGGGGGTTTAAAATATATATATCCACATAAATCCCGAAAATTCACCTTATATATAGTGTAATTTTTTATGGGGATTCAAGTGAACTCCCTGGACGACAAGTGGGTCCGCCCCTGATTCCTGCTATGGCGGGGCCGCTGTGGAGTGATGTGGGCCGTCATAACGGGACAGACGCGACTTAAGTCGAAAATAAACCCAAAACGTTATTATTCTGCAACATTCGATCTTGAGAGCTAAGAAACGACTCATGGATACTTCTTGAAGGTTTTCCACCTCTTCTAGCACCAAAGGTAAGGTTTTTACTCCCCGAATCCATTTTTCGATCTGTAGAACTTAGTTTCTTGGGTAATTATCAATGGGAGAGGATTTTGATCTGGGAATTATGGTGGAAAAAGCCCTAATCTAGGTATGGGGATCAAGGGTTTGGCCTAGGGTTGATATTGTTGATTATAATTCGAGTAATTAGGTCTTGTTTATTGATCCTCGCGTTATATTGATTGTTTGTAGACCAAGAACAAGTGGAAAGAATCCGAAAAGGGAAGAATCAAGTTTCTTAGGGGATTCAAGCTTTGTTCGAGGTAGGTGATGATTGTGATTTCATGTTGGTGTGATGCATGTTAGTAATTATGTCATCTTAATGTATGTATGTATGTGAATGTTGCATTATTGATCACACTAATCGTAAATGAGTATGATTGAATAATTGTATGCCATGAATCAACACTTGATTGTATGATTATGAGAATGTACATTGTGATTGTAATTGTGGCTTGTTGAATGGATCAGGTGTTACGTTCCAACACACTAACTTGGATTGGGTGCCACGTTCCAGCGCATATATGGGATCGAGTGTCACGTCCGACACACTAACTTGGATTGAATACCACGTATTGGTACTCTAACAGTTTGGGTGTGGGTTCCATGAGAGGACCATTGAATTAGGTTCCATAAGAGGACCATTGACTTGTCATATATACTTGTTATTGAGAATGTGGAATTGTACATTGCTCTAGAAATGATAACTGATATATATATATATATATATATATATATATATATATATATATATATATATATATTCTGTATATGCATGTTTTACTTTGTTATGACTGCTTATATATATTTCGCTTACTGGAATAGCCGCGTGATCCTACCAGTTCACTGTGATTGTGTACTAATATTGCACTTGTTTGTTCTTTGTTGAGTACAGGGAATCTTCAGACGGCTATTGATAGACCTTAGCTAGGTGACTATTGAGCGTGACCGAATTCAAGGGTGAGCCAGTTCTTTCAGGCTGTCATGAATCTCTCTTGTTTAAGTTCACTCTTTTTAGACTCACACAATTTGTTTAGGGTGTATTGTTTAGATACTTCTTATGTTGGGTTGGGGTTGTGCCCCTTTCTTAGACTCGTTGCACTTTAGATGTTCTGGTACAATGACTTTCAGGTTCTAGGGGTTGTTCTTCCGCATTAGTTTGGCCATTTTATTTAAACATTTGGAGTTTATGAGAACTCTATATAATTTCTGCATTTAAACCTGTTTCCGTATCTTTAAATGCATAGTATATTGGTTAAAGCTGCTTAGTTGGGTTGTAGTATCGATTTTCCCACCGGTGTGTTAGTGTGGGTGCCAATCACGACGGTCTGGGTCGTGACATTTACAAAAAAACAAAAAATAGGTTCTTTGAGTTTTCTTGTTTAACATTTTAGCTAGTATTTTATTTTTGGCTATTTTTAAAAGAAATAAAAGTAGACTTAATGGTATGTTACAACACAGAATTCATCCCTATCCCTACCTAAACATATTCCATTTGGGGAGTGAATATTTCATTTTTTTCTTTCCAAGATTTTTCCAAATTTGTAGGGGTGTTTTAGGGAAGGGTTGGTAAAAATTAAATGGCACACCTTACCCTCAAAACCTAGCACTATAAAGCCACAACGATGAGGGGTAAAAAGGGGGCACAATTTTCTTAGTCGCCACTTAGATCTCCAAAACCCTAGTTTCTTTTTCGGTCTTCTCCGATCTTTTTCGGCCTAATAGACCTACATTTTCCGGTAATTGTTATGATTTCAGTCAATCGTCTACTTGAATTAGATTCAAATGAGATGTAAAATAAGGCATGTTTGCATTTTTTCAGTTTCAGATACTCTATACGAGAGAGTGGGTATATAGTAGCAATGAAAATGATATCTCACATGAATTGTCATGGATAGCCACCCAAACCTCTATCCTCTCTGTTTTCAACACCTCTAATCTCGTATAGACAACGAGATACCTTCCATAGAGACCAAATTTTCTCTCACTCATTTAAATTTGATCAATGAGTCAAGGGGTATCAACCGTATTTCTTGTCCTAATTTTGGTTGACGTGAAGCTTCAATTTCAGATCTTCTTTTCAAGTCTAGTTTAAGCTTAGCATTTTTGACTGACGCTTGATTTATAAATCTTTGGTGGAGACTCTAAGTTAATTGAAAGCTTCTATTGAAGGTATATTTCTTTCCTTAATCTTTATTTTTGTATTATTACATTTTTATTTTCGTTTGCTTGGAATCACTTTATTTCTTTTTGTTACCTTGTTACTCATTGTTTGATTCTATATTTATCGATAAGTTCTATTTTTTGTTAATTATTTGGTGCCACATACTTTGAACAGTAAACTATAACATAAACTTCAACGTAGAGCAAGACAATACTGAATATTTAGTTTGCATATAAAATTTAGACTTGTACGGTAGGTGAAGTTAGGATTTCACTTACAAGAGGTCTAGGGTTCTATTCTACTTATTCACAATTTCTTTTACACTAAATTCGCTACTTGCAGTTAAAAAAAGTTTTAAGAAAATACAACTCACAACATGCCCGAACTTGCATCCCCAAGGCAGTAAACCTAAGCTTTGGGATCTCAATGGGGTTGGTTTGCAAACATTAGGATGCGTCGAACGTTAGACGAACTTAGATAGAATTAATTTTTGTTTGAGAAAATATATAAAGTCCCCATTAAATTAATACATATTTTTTAAGAAGACACCTAAACTTTGTTGGGGGGGGGGGGGGGTTCTATGACCTCTTAAACAATTTTATATTGGTATTAATATACCATTTATGGCCATCTCGCAGCGAAAGTGTAGCTCACTCTCTCAAGGAGAGTGAGAGAGATGAACTAAGGAAGTTTTTTTATTTTTTTCTTTTTATTATACTTTTTTCATTTTTATATTCCTTTTCTATTTTTCAAATTTTATTTTCTATTCGATTTTTGTTTCTCCGATCTTCTTCGATGACGTTGCTAGTTATTTTCATCGTAGTGCTTGATTTTTTAAATAGGAATGATGAGAAGGTAATAAAAAATGATAAGAAAAAACAAAGAGGGAGATGGCTACTCTTGACCACCATTTTTTTCGGTGAAGAAAACATTTTTCGACGACTAAG